AGAAATGGGGTGGGGAAGGTGAAAAGTGAACTTAGTTGTTGCTTCAGGTGAAAAGGGGAAGCCCTAGGAGGTTAATGTGGAGGAATGGGAGGGGGATTGGCTAACAGAGTAAGGAGGGCATGGCCTTCAGTGCATTGATATACATTATATACATATAAAGGCATTGCAAAGGAAGAATTAAGTTGGGTAGTCCTGAGGGGGGGGTTGTAAGGTCTTGTAAAGTTTTTTTTCTGTGAATATCTCACATCCCCCCCCCCCCGGTGTATTTGCAGCTGTTTGCTGTGTCGCAAAGAAGGGTGCTGAGCAGAACAGTGCTGTTGCTGCAGATGGAGATGGTGCGTAAACGGATTGTCCTTTCTGTTCCACATTTGAGGTCTATTCTGGATCAGATTAATCATTAAGCTAACAAATCAATGGGCTCTCAGTTTCCCACCTCAGCCATGAAGCTGAGGTTCCATGAAGAATGCATTCACATCGCCTTTTTTTCCCCGTAGATGAGGAGATGATGTCTACAGAGGTGACTCCACCATCTAATTCTGAGCTCACTGAATTGGGCAAGTGTTTGATGAAGCAAGAGGTAAGGAAGCTGAGCTTCCATTCCTTCCCCATGTTGTGTGCACATTTTGAAAGAGACTTTCCTTTAGTAGACCCTTCTAAGCCCAAAACAGAGCTCTGAACTTTTATTGGAGAAACCCTTGGCCTTAGAAATTCAGGAGCAGTTGTGAGCTTCAGTCAGCCAAATGCACCCTCCACATATCAAGGTTCCTGGGCAAATCTGAGTCCGAGATGGCTGATTGTCCTGGACGAACTGGAAGGGCATCAGGGAGCTTTCATGGCTGATATGATCATAAATCCTTTTTCAGCCTTTTTTACTTTGGCCTTCTTCAATATCACAGCACATTGTACAATACTTAGACTCAAGAGCCTTTGTTCTCAGGAACCAAGAACAAATCTCACTGGCTGCCACGTGTCTGTCTTTTCTCTCTCCAGAATGTCTGCAGTGCGCTGCTGGTTACAGCCTTCACATCCCTTTCATGGAAGGATACATTGTCCTGCCAAAGAACTACCACAAATCTGTGCTGGCCGCTGCTCAAAGAGGTGCTTCCATTACAGGGGCTAGTAGGGTGGAGTGTGGTGAAGATGAATATGGCCAAGAGTTAGTGATTCCTTTTGGGCACAGTGTGCATAGTATGAGTGAATCGTAGAAATCACCTTTTCTGGGAAGATGCGTAGAATCTGGGTTATCTTGCTACATGTTCATCTGTCTTCTGTAGGCGCTTACAAAGAACATGATGATTCCTGAAGCAGTGGCCTGGTTTTTCAGAAGTGTACTGACAGGTTTACAAATACATGGGCAACACGACGGGTGTATGGCAGCTCTCGTTCACTTGGCCTTCCAGATCTATGAAGCTTTGGTAAGGAAATGCAGGGGAAAGAATTTCTCTTTCTCTCTCTGTCTGCTGCCATCTTTGAGGATTAGTGGTGATGCCAGCCCACTGAACCAACCCCTATGACCTGATTTGGATCTGGGAGGGAGGCTCTTAATTTCCCAGGGCTTATGTGTTGGTTTTGTTCTGGTAACGGTCCTTGTTCACTATCTTCTTTGCTACTTGAAGCGTCCACGGTATGCTGAGCTGAAAGCAGTGATGGAACAGATTCCAGAAATTCAGAAAGACTCCCTGGAACAGTTTGATTCTAAGCTACTCAACGTAACGCTACAGAAAGTAACAGACAAGCGCCGGAAGGACCATTTTAAACGTCTGATCGCAGGCTGCATAGGGGTAGGTTGTGGCATCAAGCAGCACAGAAACAGCTCTCTTTCCTACCTCCAGGGGAAAAAATGGAACCATGTTGTTGGTTTCATTTATTAATTGCTTCCCATGAGGCATCCCGAAGCAATTTACAACTCTCTCTACCTAGGCTACTGTTAGATCAGTGACAGCTTTTTTTAGCCTATTAGTCCTGACTCTAGGTCCCACTAGCCTCGGGTTAGTCACAACAGTAGCAAAACTCAAGTGCCTTTCTCTTGAGGTCTAGTTCTCTTTAAAAAAAAAAGACCTAGGCATGTATTGGCTGCATGGATAAGTATACAGCTTCAGTGCAAGATCCACTGTGGTGTAATTGTTAAAGAGTTTTGGACTAGGACTTGGGAGACCCATATGTAAAATCCCCACTCAGCCATGAAACTCACGGGGTGACCTTGGGCCTGTTGCTCTCCCCCAACCTAATGTACATTTGGGAGGATATAATGAGGAAGCGGAGAACCATGTTTGCCACTTAAAGCTCCTTGGAGGAAAGATAGGATATGTAATAATAAAAATATTAAATAAATAATCACAGTTTGAAAGCACAATATGCTGATCTTTAGAGCAAAGGTTAAAAGTACCTCTCTCATAGCTTGTGATCGGTGGCAGGCCAACTGTTAAGAATGCATTAGCAGGGAGAAATTAGGTCCAGTCGTGACAGACTCTGGGGTTGCGGCGCTCATCTCGCTTTATTGGCCGAGGGAGCCGGCGTACAGCTTCCGGGTCATGTGGGCAGCATGACTAAGCCGCTTCTGGCGAACCAGAGCAGTGCACGGAAATGCCGTTTACCTTCCTGCCGGAGCGGTACCTATTTATCTACTTGCACTTTGACATGCTTTCGAACTGCTAGGATGGCAGGAGCTGGGACCGAGCAACGGGAGCTCACCCCGTCGCGGGGATTTAAACTGCCGACCTTCTGATCGGCAAGTCCTAGGCTCTCTGGTTTAACCCACAGCGCCACCCGCATCCAGCAGGGAGAAAAATCATTAGCAAAGATAGCATTTTGTTGCTGGCATGCAGCAAGTCAACTCTTTGTTTCAACAGAACTGATAGAAGGATGTTGGCAAGGCTTAAAGTACCTTACAGACACTTGAATTGGCTTTGACCCTATCATAGCTCTACCACCAGTTGCCCAGGAAGGTTGAGTTGTTACAATCTCTCAATTAAAGGGTTGTGGCAAAATGAAAGTGTTGTATTGGCATGGGAGATATTTTACTTTTTCAGCAGAGGAAATTCTACTGGAGTTATTGTGCAAGTGCAATGCCTAATGGAGACTTCTCTTGTTCCTTACAGAAGCCCCTTGGAGAGCAATTTAGGAAGGAAGTTCATATCAGAAACCTTCCCTCTCTTTTCAAGAAGGTGAAGGCACCCCTAGATACAAATTCATTGGATAATGAAGATGGAACCCTCATTGCGCTCTTTCAGCAATAGAAGCTCAGGACACTTTCACTACCCCCTTTTCTATTCTGTGTTCTTTCACAGTAGCCATTTGCCTACTTTGTCTACTCTTCCCCCTGTGTTTGGATTCAGCTCTCTCACTGGCCCCCCAGCTCTTTCTGCTTCGGAGGCTGGAGGACTGAGTTCATCCCATCCCATCTACTACACAAAACCTGTTGGATTTCCCTATTTCCATTTGCAGCTTTATTGCATAACCTCATTTTCCTTGGATGGAGCCTAGCCATTCAGCCCTATCAATCAGTGGACCAGTTCTGTCGGAACTAACTTTCACATGGGCACACAATGCTTTTCCAGCGAAGGCAGCATGCTGCCAGATCTCTACTATTCTTCAATCAGGATCCCTGCACTGTGGCTGCCTCATTATGGCACTACCAGAGGACTCGTCTGCTTCCCTTCGGAAAGGCCCAGCTCTTCCAAGTTAACCCAAGTCTGCACACTGAGCATTGCTGAACCCGCCAAGTCTCGGCTGACTTGATGTTTCTCTAGAGAAGCAGCACTCTGCCATATATCCCATCAAACCGGAGACAGTTCAGGAACTGGTGAAGTCTCTCTTACTGTCAGTTTGGCTCAGCCATACCTCAGGAAGCCTGAAGTGAACTATCGGTCCTCATTTGGCCTAAGAACATTATCAAAATCGTATCCTATCTTGAACTCTGGTCTTTGCTGTCAGAAGACCCGAGTACTGTAGACTACAATAGCCCAGGGATACTCTGTGCTGGTCTGAAATACTTAAGAACAACTAGGATGAAATGCTGCATTTGGGGGTGCAGCAGCAGAGTTCTGGATTATTCTCTGCAGTGCCTGATGGTTCAAAATGCCTCCAAATCGGGCCTTAAAGTAGGTTTGGGTTTGCTTGTATAGCATAGGATTCCTAGCCCGCTTGAAAGTTTAAATCTTCAGCACTAATTTGGTCTTTGCTTAACAACTGCCGCAGTAGTTTAGCTGGAGATGCAAAAGAACGTTCATTGGAGAGAAGTACCAGTATGTTTTTAAGTGGCTTTGCAGTGCATAGATCTGGTCACATTAATAGAAAAGTGTGAAGGAAGCAGGCCTTAAGCTGGTGTTCAGATCCTCACTAGTACCCCCAAATCTACTCCAACTTCCGTTTACCCTCTTAAAGTCTTGATCTCGGTGTAACTTTTATTAAAACAAAACTGCCACGACAAATAGCATTGAAGTCTAGCCTAACTGTATTTATTGTGTCATGAGTATATTTTTAATTTTCTGTGGCCATAATAGAAAAATAATAATAACGTTAAGGGGTTTTGGTAGGGATGTTGTATCTAAAGATGTCTCCAATCAATTGTGATACACCTCTGAATGTCAATAAAGCTCTTTCAGTTTTATACATAAATTCTTAGTCTGGGTTTATTCTCACTAATTTGCAGTTAGTTCTCACTGAAGCAACTTTTCTCATGTTTGAATTTTACAGCAGCTTTTTTACTACGGCAAAACTTTTATAGGTCAAAAGCTGCAAGATTACATTTGCAGCTGGAAAGCTCACAAAAGCTATTTAGTCTAAATGTTCAAAGGTAAAGTTCATTGCTAAAATTATCTTGGCTATTCATTCTGAATATGGGGTAAAGATCAGTCCCTTAAGCAGATAGTTTATCACGCTCAACAGTTAAAATTGCCAAACTATATATAAGCTATTAGATCAATAATTAGCCCAGCTGCACCTCCGCTCATGTATTAAAATAAAGTGATTAGAAGATAAAAAAATCAGCTTACTCCATAGGCAGTTGAGGCCTCAAAAAATATTTAATAAATAATAGAGAAGCTCAATGACACCATATTTTTTAGAATTCTGCTCTTTGAGTGGCAGAAGAATCATCATAGGCATTAGACCTTACTGTGTAGCACCTTTGAGATTATCCATCAATATACATCAGTGGAAAGTTAATGGCAATTCTCAAAAAAGGTGGTCCTGTTACAGGTCTGATGTAGTCTTTAAAAAAGCAACTTAGAAGATATTGCAATTGCTGGAGCCTACCCATCTTCTGCTTGCAGGATATTTTTTATCCACTTATATCTGGCAACTTTGGTCTTTGCAATAAGCTGCCTAGTGGCATCACATATCACTGCCTTTTCAGCCGCATATCAAATTGAGTGCCACAAAAGTAAAAGGTACACAGCCACTTGCTTCAGTCTTTCACATCCGTGGTAGAGGGTCCATTTCTCCTTGCCTATTGACCCAGACTTGGTTGACGCCCTCCTTCATGACACAGCTGTAGCGATCCCAACCAAGTGAGTCCTTATGCTGAACTTTTCAGAAAGAAAAACTTATTTCTTTTGGATGAATTTAAGCTCCTCCAGGAACTGCTGACACTTTCCTATCAATACCTTGATTGCTTCACTCATCAGCACATCTGGAGGCAAAACACCTGTTGACTCAACAGAAACTGAAGAAACGGGATAGAATTAGATCCAAGGTAGCCAGTTTAATAACTGAAAATACAAAAAAAAATCCACCCCAAAACATGCTCCAGGCAAGGCAATTCAATTGGCAACATAATGCCTCAATGCACTGTGTGGTCTTATGCTCTTGTTAATAACCCTAAGAATTCAGAACAGTCTTAACATCCAATGGGGGTGGCGGGATGAGAGGACATTTCTGCTCTTTGAAAATCTTTGTTTTTGTAACCATCAACCATGTAACCATCAACAACACTTAACTGTTTTTAGATTTTTAAGCACGGTTGAGGGGTAAGCTTAAACGTTTGAAGACTGAAATCTGGTGCTAAATCTGCAATCCTGACTATTTAGAACTAACTCATATTTATGACTTACTCTCAGGTAAGTAGAATTAGGTTGAAGCCTTACTCAGCTAAAATGATTGCCAACTTTGTTTCACATCAGTACATACATAAACAGATTTTATATAGAACTATGGTAAAAGCATAGAAAACTACTTGAGGCCCCTTAGACGCATGACTACCACCCACAGTTACTACATATAGTAAAATGTCAGAGAAAGGGGCAGCGACAGAAGCATTTGAAGGCTTACTCACAGATGTAGTGATCTCGCACCCGAGCCAAGCGCACAAGGTTTTTCAGGTCATTGTGACGAAAAATTTCTCTACTGAATGTGTCCAAACGAGCGTTAGCCACTCTTGCCACTTTTTGCCCTAGAGAAACAGACCAACACTTAATATGGTAAACAGGTATGCTAGTGTGTTTACTGAACCTTCCCTCTCTACTGCTGAATTATGACCCTTTCCGCATCCCAAAGACAAGAGGCATATATTCTAATGAGGAAACAGTTTCAAAGAATTTCCTCAAGGCCAGAGCAGTGGGGCCAAAGGTGGCATTTTCCAGGCTAGCCAGAGGGCAATTACAGTTTAATCTTATTATGCATAACAACAGGCCTCAAGGGAATTTTACTCCCCAAGTATGTGTGCATAAATCATATTACTATTGTAAGGAACTCACCAAGACCTCAAAGACAGTTTTCACAAGCTAAAATTATCCTGACATGTTGATGGTCAGATAGGATAGGATCCCTGAAACATTGTGAAGATAACAAGCAGAAGAATCGTAGCCCCAAGTTTTCAATTTCTACAAACCACACTCGACAAAATACCTGGGGGGCAAGGTGCTGTAGGCCAGAAATGAGACCTCAGAAGAATACACATTTACCCAGACTTGGTATAGAGATGGGGTATCAGCCTTTCTGGTTTTCTCATCTCAATAAACATAGCCTCTGATTTTTGCAGTCTAGGGTAGAGATTGGCCCTCCAGAAACTGTTGGATGCCAAGTCTCTCTCATCCATCCCAGTCAGCATGGCAAAGTCAGAGATGATGGGAGCTACAGTCTTAACAGCTTCTGGAGGGTCACAGAGTCCTCAAAGGGGAGGAGGTACAAAATACCTTTGATTTCCTGGACCTCAATAACCCCAGCAGAAAAGCAGTTCTTCAGCCTCTCAGCTGCTTCTCCTTCGATAGGCTGTAGTAGAGTGATTTCTGGCAATAGCCGGTAACTGGCTGTAGCCACTGGAGAAAACTTTGCATGGTCTTTACCTGAGTAAAGAGAGTGTTCATTAAATAAAAAATCAGAGAGGGACAGTCGCTGAGAAACCTGGAACTGTTGTTTTTCTTTAATCAGCCACCTAAACTTATATTCACAGCCAGTTCCTTGGTGGTTAATAATTCAAATTACCTGCACTACCCGAAACAGGTTAGAAATCAGGTCATTTGGAATTCGAAACAGAGAAAGAATCTGTTTCTGTTGCCGCATGATGGACCACACACATATGGACTTTCATTAGCTGCAGAGACATCCTTTGATATCCATTTGCTTGTGCAACAGGGCTTTCAGTTTCTCCTCTCCCACTGCAGTAGCCCAGGCAGGTGCCCCCTAAAATCTGCTCCAGAGAGTCACCCAATCCCTGGATTGGTAGAGAGTAGACAGGTGGACTCTTTTTGAAAGACCTCCACCCTTCAGCATCAGGCACAGAATGTTCACAGCACCTAGTTACATAAACCCATCAGTATCTTTTATAAACCCATCTTTTATGCTAGGAAAGCCCTTGCTAACTAATTTGAGTTTCCAGTACAGTGGTACCTTGGTTCTTAAACTTGATCCATTCCAGGAGTCCATTTGACTCCCAAACTGTTTGAAAACCAAGGCATGGCTTCCGATTGGCTGCAGGACCTTCCTGTACTCAAGCGGAAGCCGCATCAGACGTTCGGCATCCGGAAAAAGTTCGAAAACCAGAACACTTACTTCCGGGTTTTTGGAAGCAGATTTGTTTGTCAACTAAGCCGTTCAAGAACCAAGGGTCCACTGTACCTATGCTAATCCAGATTGATTCAAATGATTCGGAAAGGTAGAATTTATACCTGACATGTCAAACTGGTAGCAAGGCTGATTAACATGTCACATTCCTAGACACAAAAAGCACCACCGCTTTCCCTCCAAAGCTATGTACAAGTATCTAAGATTGGTCAACCTAAGTTCTAGGGTGCTTTTCCTCGGCTGTACCACACAATTTAGTCTTTTACCTTCTGAAAATGGAAGTCTATAGTGCCAGTCCTGCCAATGTAGATTCTATTCCCATGGATGGTGTGCCATCTTCAACCATCCTCAAAATACTTATATTTGGTTATTCAGGCAGCAACCTTTTTACGTGCATCCAATTGACGTGTGATGGCAGACACGAGCCAGGAAAGTAACCCCTGCACAAAAAGGTCACCGCCCGTACTTTACACAGCCCAAAGGTCACAGGCAGATCTTTAGCAATGCAAAGAGGTGAGAACTGCAAGCTCTCACCATGGACCAGAGACAAGTTTCTTCCTTAAAGCAAAGGCAAACTACTGAACAATCCAGAATGCCCATTCCAACAAACCAAAGACATCCTATCCTCTTGTAAAAAGGATCCTAGCGAAACACGTCCTGTAAATCACCAAGGAGCAAATACTAGCCAAACCCAGAAATCTCAGTGGTCCCATGCCCCACATTTCCAAAAAGTTTCCCAACTCCATCCCAGTACTCCAGCTGCCTCACCAATGCCTTTGACGCAGTGCATAAGTACATCGATCTCTTGGCCGGGCCGCAGCTGGGCAATGAGGATGTCGTCATGTACAGGACGGAACTTGGCATTCATGTTGTCGGCCTGAGAGCCCAGGGGCACCCATTCCATGTGCTTGCTGTAAACTGAAAAAAGAAAAGGCCAAAAAAGACTTGCGTCTGTAACAAGGCAGACAACTGAATCAACTCTTAACTCCTCTCCCCACAAAAGGAAACAAACAATAGGCTGGAAGCTGGGGAAGGCATAAAGCAATTAATATTGCAAAGCAGGCTCTGGTGTCATCTCAGAGCTTCAAGAGTGAGAGAGCAAAGGGACTGGGGACTGTCTCTCTCATGACACTAACAGCAGAAGAAGGAGCAGCTTTACCTTTATGGTTGATATACAGTTCGTTAGGGTCAGACGATTCCTTGGCTGCCTGAGGATTCCTGTGGCACTTTATTTTCAACTGGAATTGCAGAGTGTTAATTTCATCACATTCGTCTTCTGCAAAAGGAACGGAAGAATAAACTGAAGCTACCCTGAGCAACTGCCGCTTCCACTGGATGCCCAGGTTCTTCTGGTGAAGGGGATGGCTAATCTTTTGGGAGGCCAAGCATTGCATTGACCCACAGTCAACCACTGGAGGCCAGGAGTCAAAGTGGGTGTGGCCAAAGTGTAAGAGTGGGTGTGGCCGAATTCTAAGGGATGCCTTTTTTTAAAGACACATTTTGTTGGGGCACAAATACCTTTAGGTATTACGCAATCACAGCAGCGGAGTCATGGGTTAGTAAAATAAAAGAATGATACATTTTTTTACTGGACAAATTGCGGATAAGGCTACAAAAATTCTTTTGGCATTGTAGTATCACGGTGGGAAGGGAACAGTAAAAAATAAATAAATTGTGGGGGGTTCCTTAGTGGGCTGTATGCAGCCTGTAGATTAGCCACCACTGTTTTAATGTCTAGTCCGTCCTAGCTAATGGGATCTTCCACAAATTCTTCTCACCTTCACTCTTGTATTCAAAGAGACGAGGATCTGCACAGATAGGGATCAGTCCCAAGCGATGAGCTAGAATTTCATCCTGCACAATGGAGGTGTTATTGTACACAAAGACCTTCTCTACGGCCATGGTTGGCACCTAAGCAAGAGTAAAAAAAGAAGGTCATTTCAAATCAATATCCAGACACATTTCCTCTCAAAGCAGCAGTCCTCAATAAAGAGCTTCAGCGATCATTTCAGCCCTACCTGCATTGAAAGAGGCCGTGGTGCAGCTGCTCCTAAAGACGCTAGCTCTGGACCCTTTGGATTGGAACAGGTATCAGCCAGAATACCCCTTTTGGGGGAAGCTGATGGAGAGGGCCATGGTAGGGCAGCTGCAGGCATTCTAGGAGGACAACTTGGGACCAGTTTGCCTATGGGATCACCTTACCCCACACGTGCCCACTTGACCCCTTCAAATGGCGGAATTGGAACTACTACAGATGCCACGTAATACCCATTTGAAATAACTTGGTTTTTTAGTGTGTGTAAGTTCCCTGCACTTTGGAACTCCCTGCGCCTGCTAAAATTATTCTTGTTTAGACAAGCCCAGCCAGATGCTTAGGAAGCTATGGTGATTTTAATCTGTTTCCGTGTTTTAAACTTTGTGTGTTTTAAAGTATGGCTGTGATTTTTTCTCAGTTTTGTTGTTTTATCTTTTTGTAAACTGTTTTGCAGGGGGTTTTTTTAACAATGAAGTGGTGTATAAATAAAATGAAAGTTTGTTTAAAACTTCACTATTGGATTTTAAATTGCTTTAACCTGCCCTGGTACCATATGGTAAAATGTAGGTAAGAAATCAAGTAAAAATAATAGATGAGGACCAGTTTAGTGCACTGATGAGGACGCTGAAGTTTATCTGAAGTTTATCTACACCTCACCATTAGCAAATTCATCAAGGATGGTTTAAAATATTACCAAGGCGTATTATTTTAAGAATGAGCTTGTGTGATTCAGCAAGTGGCCTATCTACTCCATTAGTGTGTTTGCAACAAAGACTAGCCAGGTGCCGCCAAGAATCTCGTAAACAGGGATGCCACCATTCATTCGTTAGTAAGCAATGCAGGCGACTAAGATTGCTTCTAAATACAGAAAAATTAGCAGGAGTCTTGTGGCACCTTAAATTCCATCAAATGTATTATGGAATTAAGCTATCATGGAACAGCTCAGTTGGTTTGAGCATTGATAGCTCAGTTAGTTAGAGGGTGGTGCTGATAATGCCAAGGTCGCAGGTTCAATCCCCATATGGGACACCTGCATATTCCTGCAGTGTAGGGGGTTGGACTAGATGATCCTCAGGATCCCTTCCAACTCTACAATTCTATCATAAGAATATGAAGGTTTTGTGTAGTCACATTGGCCAAGAGCTGTTCCTTGATCCATGCTCTATGAAAGTGCCTAACACCAATGGCCACTGACACACCCAATAAAACACTAAAAATCTGATTTATACAAATTATCCCCAAAGGATTAGATAATCTATACACAGCACCAAGCCTGCTGTTCCAGACAACAGTTTTTCTAGATTCTAATGGCATCTGAAATTCAAGAATGTCTGCTTGCTTTCCACAACAGAGAAGTATATTTTAAACATTGCAACGTTCAGTAGTGTTTCTATATATTTCAAATGGTTCTCAAGGCCTCCCACCTCATTTTGCCCACATTAGAGTCTTTAACTAACCTGCTCAACAGATTTCCCCCCCCCCAACATATTTTTATATATTTTTCAGGGAAATCTGAAATACATTTATTGTATATTCTAAGACAACTCCATTCTGGTCTTTTTGTAGTTGCAGAAAGGAGTAGCAGCCAAACCTGGGCAATAATGTTCAACTTGCAAGTGTCTTAGTAGTTGCTTGGGAAGAGAAATGGCTACCTCAGCAAGCAAGATGCGTCGGAAGGCATTAGCAATGGCAGCATCAATCCCCACCATGTCAAATTCCAAAGTGCTTTCGTCCATGTGCGTCACATCTACTCTGAAATTCTGTTGGGGACAAGAAGGACAAGTGTTAAAAATGTACATTGTACGCTTAATGTGATAAAAATGCCTTAATTGGCATTAAATAAAATGTGGCAAATAACCCACACAACCCAAGGACCTATGGCTGGTACTCATTGGAAACCGCAGGGTGGAAGGCAAGGAGTCCAACATTAGGTGACACCTGGGGCCAATGTCAGATAGAACCAACTAATTTTAGCTTTGCTACTATCCACCTCCCTCCTGAGTCGTACAAGGACAACACAGAGACCAAGCAGGAGGAGGTTCATGGCGAGTGCCACTCCCTGGACTGGATGTAAGGAAGAAGGCAGGCAGGTGAGGACTGGTTCAGGGTTAGGTGAGCTGGGTAGGGCAGTGCCATATTTCTTCTAAGAGACCACCCTCCACTGACAACAGTGCAATATGACACAACAGCGTAAAAACTTAATGACAGAATGGGCAAAGGGCAATTGAACCAGAGTGAAATGTTTGCGTGAATAAACATGTTTTAACTGCCATTGGAGACATTATAATGAAGGTGCCTCCTGTATCTCTGACTGAGAGTCATTTGCCTACCAGCAGCATCATTCTCAACAAACCTGAAACTAAGATGCACTTTTTCACTTGTGTACCTTTGAAAAGCCTCCTGCAGCGCACTTTAAACCCACAGCCCAGATGCATAGTGTCCAACTAGGCTGACAGTATTTCAGAATTCTTGTCTGAACAGTACGACAGCCTGAACAAAGCTACAAATCATTCCTAACCACTGGACATGCTGGCTGGAGTGATGAGATTTTTGATCTCAAATATCTAGATGAGATCAGGTTGGAGAAGGTTGACCTAGAAAGACAGGATATTCCACAACCCTACAGGTTGCTATTGTTGCATGCCCCCACAATCACTGAGTGATGCAAGATTCCAGGGGTTTAGGTGCTTACCCAGGGTTCATGTTTCCTTTTGGAAATGAGGAATAGTGGAGATTGTGGTGTCTTTCCAATATATGGTTTATTTACACATATATACAACCTGAGCCTACAATGGAGGGTCTTGTTTTTCCCATAGCTGCAGACTTTGATTCAATCAGAAATCAAACATTGCTCTCAAACGTTGTTATGACTCTCCCTCCAGCGTACTGCTGTAGTTCTACGTCACCTCACTGCCAACTCTCAATTCTTGCTTTTGTCTTTTTCCAGTTACCAGTCAGTTGAGGGAAGAGGGCATCCATTTGCTGCCTCACACAGATCCACTTTCCTTTGTTTCCTTTAATGGCCCATCACACTGGCTATCACCTCAACACAGGAAGCTAGCCTAGCTTATACTTTTACACTTGCTGGATCCAGGGGTTAGAAGGGAGCAGCATACAGCCTTCTTCCTCCCACCACAAATCCATAACACTATGAAGGACATCAATAGGCACAAGAAAAAACATTAAGAAGAGGTGGGAAACCTGGGGTTCTCCATATGCGCATGGACTACAACTTCCATCATCCTTAACTATTGGCCATGCTGGCTGGGGCTGATGGAGTTGGAGTCAAACCACATCTGGACGGCCACAGGAAGGCCACTGGAGGGGGGATCCCTGGCCTAAAGGAAGCCAGCATTTTAGAATGTCCAATTGGAAGATGGACTCCAACCCATTTACTTAAGCACCAAAAGTACTCACCTTTTCAAACTTCTCCTTGTCCCAGGCATCATCATATCCAGAGTAATTCCCAGGAAAGTCTGTTGTGTGGACCTGGAAGAAGAAAAGACCACAGCTCAGTGGTATAGCATGTAGTTTGCACCCACAAGGTTCCAGGCTTAATCCCCTGCTAGAGCTAGGAAAGGCTATCGTCTGAAACCCTGGAGAGTCACTGCCAGCCAAAGTATATGATACCAAGAGAGACAGACCCAGGGTCTGACTCAATGTAAGGCAGATTCAGATGTTCAAAGGGCAGAACGAGTGGCAGATATTCACTTTATGTAGGTATCTGCAGCACAAAGGGAGAGGGCAGAATTCACACGTGTGTCATCTAACAATTGCCCAATAAGTCGACTTGCATGTGGAAAACAGGCAAAACTTCCCAAGCATCTCAGACACATCACTTCAACTCTAACACATCACTTTGTTTTTAATGAAGCCACTTCATATATGCCAACCAATAGATGTTTTCTGTATCAGTAGAGTATTTTAGTTGGATTTTTGCATTGGGTTTTTATTTTGTAATGGACATCAGTCATTTAAAAGACAGTATAAATAATAAAATAAATATATATGAATCGTTGAGCAGGAACTACGCCTGTCCACACCAAAGACTGGCGCCACGCGCACGCAACACGCAGCTCTCGGCGCGTGTATCCCTTCCAGTCCCCATGAAGCCCCACACTCAGCCCTTTAGCTGCCTCCACTTCGGGACCAGAGCCTGTCGCTCCTCCGGCACCTTTCCCGCTCTTTTGACTTACGTTGCGGACGCCAAACTCGCCCAAGACCACCCGGCTCCGCATCTCTTCCACGCTCCTGGACGCCGCCATCTTCCACTCCACCGGCTGCGGAAGAAACACGCAGCGGCGGCGCGCAGCGTCGAGTTTTGTTTTCAGGAGGAAGGCGGGGGGAGAGCAAAGCTTTCTGCGTCACGTGATACAGGCCAGCCTATGGCTAAGGCACGTTCATAGACCGAAAGGAAAACACGTTGCTCGCGTTCAACCTGCCATGTTGTGCGTGGCGTCAAAAAACGCTCTTTGTATCGGTTTGGCCTAGAGCTGAATACATATTGGCCTCGAGTGCTACCTGTTAGGCTTCCTTTCCTCTCTGTCCGTCTCTCACGGCCCGCAGCTTCATAGGTCCCTCCTTGGGCAGCCTAGTCCGGAGCAACCAAGATGGCGCAAAGGATAGGTCGCCTGTCACGAAATGTCGCGAGAGCTCCTAAGTCTCCACGTCCTCAGCTTGGCTGGGACGGTCCATAACCTTATTGGGGAGGGTTGCCTTGGCTTCGTTACATCCGGGTCCCTCTCCCTGTATCTCCAGTCGGGGCCCTGGCTTCCTGTATCCTCCGCTAGTGGGGTGAGGCAGGAGGGCGGGCGCCTGCTCGCTCCCCGCAACTGGTGGCAGGAAGATGTCCGGACCCGGGGTGCCCACGGCCGCAGGCGCCGGAGGGGCGAGGAGTCCTGGGGCGGCGGCGCCGGAGTGGGGAGCCTTCGAGGACAACATGCAGGTATGGGAAGGAGGGAGGGAGGAGAGAAAAGGGGTGCAGGATAGAGCCCCATCCGCGATGGTGTATGTACTCTGTGGGTTACGTTTGCTGCCCTGTTTCGCAGTAACTTAATCCGGAGTAACTGCCACCCTTCACATAATCGTGGAAATTTACCCCGGTTCGGGGTAAAGCCATCAACCAACCCGCCAAGATGCTATGGGATTTACAATATTAGATGAGGAATGGGGTAAACTATGGTCAGATCCAACCCCACAGATCAGCTTCAGTCCGAGTAAAAGAAAACACATAGGTGGCATTTATGTCTGCAACGTTTGGCTAGAATTACAAAAGAGGGAGATCTGTCTGTCTATCTCATGTATTAAGACCAACCACAACAACCCACCAACCTGCTTCGAATGCTCGTCTTCTACTTGAAAGTTAGGGGAAGTAGTGAGAAGTAGTAATTATTTTCATAGCTGGTGGCTGTCAGTCAGGGCCGTACACCTAAGTCCTAACCATGTTTCCTCAGAAGTATGTTTTGTTGAATTCAGTGGGGCTTACTCCCAGGTAAGTAGGATTAAAATTGCAGCCATAAGTGGTGCTTGCTTGCCTCCAGCCCTGCTGAGTTGATTTGAGACTGCCACATCTGGAACTGGGAGGACTCCAAAATGTTTTTGGTTTTTAGCAATCTATACATATACATAAAAAGGTAAAGGTACTCCTGCCCGTACGGGCCAGTCTTGACAGACTCTAGGATTGTGCGCTCATCTCACTCTAGAGGCCGGGAGCCAGCGCTGTCCGCAGACACTTCCGGGTCACGTGGCCAGCGTGACAAAGCTGCTCTGGCGAGCCAGCGCAGCACACACGGAAACGCCGTTTACCTTCCCACTAGTAAGCGGTCCCTATTTATCTACTTGCACCCGGGAGTGCTTTCGAACTGCTAGGTTGGCAGGCGCTGGGACCAAGCAATGGGAGCTCACCCCGCCGCGGGGATTCGAACCGCCGACCATGCGATCCGCAAGTCCTAGGCGCTGAGGTTTTACCCACAGCGCCACCCACGTCCCACACACACACACACACACACACACACACATATATATATATATATATATCCAACCAAAATGTACTTCAGGGAGGAAGAGGTTCAAGAGACAGCTATATATCCCAGTTTAAGGAGCTAACTGTCAGTTCTAGTTTCCAGGCATGGATGCCAGGTCTATCAATGTATTACTTACGGCTTCAGTCATAGAATCATAAACTTGTAGAGTTGGAAGGAGTGCTGAGGGTCTTCTGGTCAAACCCCCTGCAATGCAGGAATCTCCACTAAAGCATCCATGACAAATGGCCATTCAACCTCTGCTTAAAAACCTCCCGAGGAAGCCCATTCCACTGTCAAAGAGCTCTTAGTGTCAGAAAGTTTTCCCTGAAGTTTAAGTTGGAACCATATATAATGTAGGGGAGAGGTGGGGAAGCAGCATCTTGTAAAATGTAAAATTTTGACTAGCAGGTATCAGGAAATTGTGTCACTATTTAGGTAAAATGTCATTCATTTTGTGCTTTGTTAAGTTTTCCTATGAATATTTATGCTTACAACATATTCAAAACTTCAGTAAAATGTGCCACAAGGATATTAAGGTGAGAGCAAGGCGAGGCTCCTTGAGAAAGTTCCAGAGGTGTGGGATTGTATCTGAGAAGGCCCACTTCCTGATCATCAGGGCCTTGTTTTAAGTAGTGAGAGCACCCATAATTACTGTAGTGTACAAACTGGTTTAGGTGAGAGCAGTGTTAGAAACTGGGATAGAAACGCTAGGAGCCAAATGGCTTCTGGGAGCTGGGTTGTGGGCATCAAAACAGAATGTCTAGTCACCATTTGCCGGGGGGGGGGTTGGCACCACTTTCTATGTATTATTTTGATAAGCATGAATTAATACACAATTCAGGTAAGTGACACATTCTTAATATCACATTTTTAGCAGAAATTGTTAATACATGTTTAATTTGGTGTTTACAATAAAAATACTCTTTATTGTTAAACTCCTTAACATATTGTCTATCCTTAACATTTATTTTGAGGCTTCAAAGCACATGTGTTCAGTAATCCTTGTGTGTCAGCCAGGTACAAAAAATGGCACCCAGCTACCTTTAATGCTTTGCATATCTTTGCATTATTCAGGGCGGGGGCTCTGCTGTAATTGATATGGAAAATATGGATGATACATCTGGCTCCAGTTTTGAAGACATGGGTGAGATACACCAACGCATGAAGGAAGAAGAAGAAGTGGACGCAGAGGCGGCAGCTGCAGATGAGGAAGATGGCGAGTTCTTGGGAATGAAGGGCTTTAAGGGTCAGTTGGGTCGGCAAGTAGCTGATCAGGTAAGCTGCATTCTACTTGGTTTGTTCTTGCTTCTCTGCTGTGAAGAAGTTCTAAGCTCAGGAGACTGCTGGTTCCTGCAAGCTCATTGACTGTAATCCGTTAAGGACAATGATTGGCGTTTCTTCCAAAGCATAGTCTTGGGTTCTATGTTCACATTTGTCTTTCTCAGATGGACAGCATATATTCTGTGACCTGCACATGGGCTACAGGCCTTGCTATATGCATGCAAGACAAGTGCAGCCAGAACTAGATTTATAAAACCTGTTACACAAAATTAGACTTAGCTCCTGTTCTTTTAATCCACACAGTAGAAAACAGACCGTTTATTTCTCTTCTGGTTGGAGAAACATAAGCTAGACTTGTAAACTTCTTTGACCCTTTTTTGTTTTGTTTTTTTAACAATCAAGCAGTATATAAATAAATTTTATTAGTCTCAACCCCAAGAGGAAGAAGCCTCTTTGTGAAACACTCACTAAGGGCAGCAGGGTTGAAGGTGCAGCATAGGCCAAGTAAGCCTAAGTCAAGCACTGAAAATCAGTCTAGTTCCAAAATGTGATCCAGAGGAAAGGTCAGGCAACAGCCAAAGCTGAATATATAGGAGTTCAGGCATGGGAAAGGAGCTGAAGACCTGCGTTGTTTCCAATGGGGCTCAAGAGGGAGACCTTATATCTTGGCTTCCTAGACCACACCCTAACCACAACTGCTGGTAGTAAAGGAGTTCTATGGGACTGCTTACTCACAAGTAGATGCTTCACAAGCCATGCCATGTCTCTGGGTCCAAAGACCCATGCTATGTCATCCCTCTTCAACCTGCCCCTTTTGGCACCAGCATTCTCAAGAACTGATGGGTGGCTTCACCTCCTCCTTTGACAGCTCCAAGGGTTATTCAGCAGGGCCCCTTGAAAGGATCCTCAGCACTGGTTCCATGAGTCCCTGCCTGCTCCTCAAGGTCCTCAACCTGTGGACTCTCCGGTTAACTCTCCAACGGCTTCGTGCCTGGCACTGGGTCTGGTCAGGCATGACGCCCCCTCTATTTCACAATCTTGTATTCCTCGTGAGAAACTGAGCAAGAATCAGCAACATGCCTGAGCCTTCTCCGCATTCATTTGCAGAGGTAGTAGTCCCTACCCACAGCTCCAAGCTAGTGTCATAATTTTCATAGCAGCATAAATTTCTGTTGCTCAACTACAAAGATCACTGGTGTGTGGTGCATTCTAAAATATGGCATGAATGTTAATCCCTGTGCAAAAGCTGTAGAATTCAATGCAATAATCTAGTCATCAGCACCAAGAAAGGAGAGCTCAGTTTCTTACAATCTCTCTTTTCTAGATGTGGCAAGCAGGAAAGAGACAAGCCTCCAAGGCTTTCAATCTCTATGCCAACATTGATATCCTCAGACCCTACTTTGATGTTGAGCCAAACCAGGTTCGGAACAGGTAAGCAAATGGCAGGTTCTTCCTTCCACTTTTCCAGCTTTGCTTTGTCTACCAGTGGCTTTCCTAAAGCTGCTGTTTATTATGTTAATAACAGAAGCACAATTCATTTAAGAAACCAGTTACCTGGCACCCCACATCTTTGTTATGAATAAGCTGGCTGTTCAGATTATAGAGACAAGCACCACACATCCGTTTTGCTTACCAGCCTTTTATAATGCAGCTTTGGGGGAGATGTTCAAGAATTCTTCTAGCTGTGCTGTAATTTCTCAAACCATTTATTACAAACTTTTTTATTTTCAATCATTTGATGGTAGTGCACAAGAGAAACAGGGCTTGTGCATTACCATCAAAAGATTCAACAAATTGCTTAGCCTTGTGTGCCCTATCAAATGAATGTAAATCAGAGTTCCTTTAATCTGTCCTTACAATACTGATTATTAAAAGGTACAAACTGCTGTTGGGCTCCCTCTCTTGTACGTGACTATTGGACTAACCACAGGAAGACAATTAAAAAACTTATTTCCAGTGCAAATTAGACAGGATCAGGGTTGTACATATCTCCCACCTACCAACCATCCCAGGCTTTGTATCCATTTTAGTGGCGTGCTGTGTGGATTATTTAATGAGACTGGGATGTACACCTGCTCTTGCCTCTCCCCTCGCCAACCCTCCCCATGAACCTTGCCAACTACCTCTGCTACATTTAGACCTCATCGTACCCTCCCTCCCTCTCCTTAGACCTCCTGCTCATACTGCCAGCCTCACCAGCAACACTATTTCATCCTTAGCAGCAGAGTGTGAGGAGGGAGGTGGTGGCAGAGCAGGATGGTTGCTGGGAAGC